GACATTAATCCTTCCTAACCTCATATCTGGGGAGGGAGGAATCAGGATGGATAGGAGGTGTCAGTCCAGCAGTGGTTGGATCTAGCTCTAGCAGGAAGTTCTGAAAGGAAGTTTAAAAGCTCTGCAATTGGGAGAATTTTCTCCCAACTCCTTCTCAGCTGTGGTCTCCACACTGGCGCTGAGCACAGGACTGATGTACAGCTCCACACCTCGCTTTCTGCACAAGCACTCCAGAGTAAATTTCACAATAGGTATTAAGAGGTGATCTGCATCCCATTTTGTTTATCTTCCACAGGTGGGAACAACCTGGAAAGATTCACTTTGGTTGTTTCTGCCTGGTTTGGCATTGGGAGATTCCCTTTGGTTCCTCCTAGCTGCTTTGCAGAGAGAGCAGGAACAACCAAAGTGAGTCTTCCAGCATCAAATCATTCAAGCTGTGGATGGTGGGGGCGCCTCAGGGTACACAACCTCAACTCTTCAGCACATCAGGGAAATGCTTTGAGTTGTATTCCACTGCTGCATTTGCAATAAACAGACCCAAAACAGAGGTCCACCAGAAAGAAGGGGACATCTAGAGTGTTATGGAAGTAATCAAAGTGAATTTTAATCCTGCATAAAAGATGATCTTAAGATCTTTTTAAAGCTAATTCCTGTGATGACTGTCAACAAACACACAATTCTATCCCAAGTAACAAAATGAGTCTCATTAATTTCTTGTATGCAACTGGAATTGAAAATACTGAAAATCAATACAATTTTTTATCAGAAGCAACATTCTCAGCAGTATCATAATCATATGCTAAAAAGAGATTCTGGAACTATCATGGGGAAAATTTGAGTAGCCTGTACAACTGTGCATTAAAACACTCTTTGCCTGATTCAAAACCATTTAAAGAAGGACTTTCTTGATGGACTTTTTAATGTCCTTGGATACTACTGAAGAATTTTTATGGAAATACTTTGTATACTGGATTATTAGAACACATTTATCATCCATTGCCTGCACATATATCTCACAGCTGGCTGACTTCACAATAGCAGCATGAATCACAGCTACAGGGCACACCAATATTTTCCTTACTAAAGGCAATGGAGTTCCTTAGGGAATTTACTCACTGTTCTTGTATTAGAATGATAAACCAATTACAATGACCTCCATAAATTGATCCATTAAAGAAGGAAATATTTAAAAAAAAACAACAACTAAGCTTATATTATGTAAGACTCTATATATGTTTAAGTTTTTAGGATACCTACACCCAAACCCAGGAATTAAGACTCATCAACATTACACTGTAGAATGAAATCAATTAACAGGATATTGGACTGTATCATAGAAGCTTCCCAAGAGACTGCTTCCCATCAAAAATTCTATTTGTAAAATATGTCTTTATTCTTGTTAAATAAGAATAAATTTGCTTGGGTTTTTTTAAGAAAAATTTGCAAAAATGTTAGTGGGCTCAGTCAATATGGTGAGAAGGGGCATCATAAACTAAACTCTTATTTACCACCTGGAAACGCTTTCAAGAGGGAACAATCAAGAAGTTTTGATCACACCCCTCCCACCTCCCTGCTCTGCATGGACGACTAGGGAGCAGAAGAAATGGCAGTGGGGTCCCAGGAAGGAGGATCCTTCCCATTCTCATGCACTTTGCTCATGCAGGTCCCCAGTCTCACTTCTGCATACACCGAATGGCTGCTCAGGAAAAGTCCCGTGTCCGTCTTGCACAGCAGCAGGAGAGGAGGAGGGCGTGTGGCCACAGACGCCTCAGGAGCAACCCTGCCAGCCCAGCTCTTCAGCACCTGCAGGAGTTGGAGAATCCTTTCCCCAATTTCCCTTTCAATGTAGTCCTGAAGGATTTATGACAGCTAAGATAAATAATCTCCAAGTCCCAAAAGCAGCAATTCTTCTGTTGAGCAGATGCAGCAGCTCTTCGCCCCAGCAGGGCTCCCTGGCCCAGGGCTCCCTGGCCCGGGACACGTTCCCAGTGAGGGGAGCAGCTGCCAGCTCCAGGGAGCAGCGCCACGGGGACCCTGTCCCACTGCTGGGGACACTGTCCCTCTGCCAGGTACCCTGTCCCACTGCTGGGGACACTGTCCTGCTGCCAGATCTTCAGTCACTTCCTCAAGAGCTGTCACTGTTCCCTCAAGGGAGGCATTGGCAGCCTCCCTCTGCCCCCACCACATCCCCCTTCAAATTTCATCCAGAGTTTTGATTTGGGGATTTTTCTTTTTTTCATAGAATCACAGAGTCTTTGGATTGTAAGGGGACCTTGAAGACCATCTAGTTCCAATCTCCTGCCATGGGCAGGGACACGTTCCACCAGCTCCAAGCCCCATCCAATTCACCTTGAACACCTCCAAGGATGGGGCAGCCACAGCTCTGAGCAACCTGTGCCTGGGCCTCACCACCCTCACAATAAAGAATTTTTTCCCTAATAACTTATATAAACCTACTCTCAATTAGAACACATTCCACCTTGTCCTGTCACTGCATGCTCTTGTTAATAGTCTTGTCCCACCTTTACTTTTAAAAAAAATTAGTTTTTAAATATTTTTTCCTCAGAAGAGTATCTATATACTGCATAAAGCACTTCTTTTTCATTAAACAGAACACTTAGACCCCGGACACCACAGCACGGCGTGAGAGGCGCTCGAGGCAGGGCAGGACGCTCCTCACCACCCCACAGAGGCCCTGGCTCTGTCCTTCATCCTCCCTCCCTCCGCCCCACAAGGGCCCCCTGGAGCTCACCCCTCCTGCCAGCTGAGGCTGGGGACATCGGGATCATGGTGCTCCTTGCAGAGGGAATCACAGGGTACCATGTTGCACGGGGAGAGCCTCGGCCCTGTGCCGCCTCCCTCCCCACAGAGGGGCCGCCACGGCCACGGCCGCTCCTCCCCTCACAGCCGGCGGGATGGCGCCCGCTCCGCTGTGGGAGCCCCTTTGTGCCCTTTGGGTCAGGAGGAGCCTGCGGCTGTGGGAGTGTGGGGAGCAGAGGGGAACGGGTTCCCCGCATCCGGCCCCTCACAGCACGCCGGGGAGGCAAAGGGGAGGTAAAAGCCCTGGGGAAGATGCAGCACTCGCAGGCCTTTTTCCCTCAGGAATGCCCAAGGAAGAAGCCATGGGGTTATGTGGAGGCGGCGGTGTGGGCAGGAGGCGGCAGTGGGCAGGAGCAGGGGCTGGTACCCTCTGAGGGGATGGCCATGGGGCGAGGATCCTGGAGGAACGGGGTGAGGGAGAACGGCTGCGGAACGGCCCGTCCACATGGCAGACACAGATGGGCTGCGTGCCCACCGCCTGAAATAAAAGCTCATTATCCACGAGCTATTTTTGGCACCTGATTAATTCTTTATAGCTCTCAAGCTGCATTTGTACTCCTGTCGCTGTGAAAAATCATAGCTCGGAAAAATCCCATTTTCCCCCATTTTTTTGCAGTATTCTCTGTAATGAGGAAACATGGCTTTTAAAAGAAAAGCAGCAAATAAACCCAGACCTCCATCTGCATACAGACCACACAGGAATACCAAGCATGCACAAATGCATATTTAGGGATAAAATTGCCAACCAAATGTTTTAGACTTCAAGTTTTCACTATTTATACATCTATCTCAGCCTTAAAACCCTTCTATTCTTCTCTTTCCTAAATCCAGGCAAATTACAAGAAGTTACATGAAAGCAATATTTGTGTTGCCTCTTTGTGGCCTAAGAAAAGGCCAACTTCCCAACTCCCATTTTCACTAAAGGAAATAATAAAATGAGAGCCTGTTCCTGGGTCCTGCTCCATACAAGGTCTGGATTGGACTTTTGGATGATGGGTACCACCCACAGTCAAAAATATGTAGGCTTAGTCCTGTGGACTTCTGATGATACCTCAACATCCCTCATGGCATCTCTTCTTCTTTTAAGAGAAAGACATAAACTGCCATTTTGGCCTGACAGCATTTATGTCCAATGTCATAGAGGCTGACAATAGCAGGTAAGTGAGGAATAAGGCCTGTGGTTCTCCCTCACCAATCTCTTCCAGAACAATCAAATAATCTTGGAGCATTTGAGGCTTTTACTGGGTAAGAGTGGTGGTGTTTTTTAGGGGGGGTTTGCTGCTGGAAAACAATGCCCCATTTAAAGGACAAATTCAGCGCAACTACTTGAAACAAACTTGGATAAGTGTTTTCTAACTTCACCTTTATGCTATGTGCACCTTAAACTGTAGGTGAGTCTCCTTTGGCAAAGGCTGCTGCTTGCTCAAGAAGCTTAACAGTGCATGTGTCATCCTGACATTTTGGGCCTGATTCTACAGGTGCTAAAATGAACCTTCACTCCTGCACTCACTGCGTCAGACTCTCAAGGGATTCAAAGAAGTCTGAGGCACCTGACTTTTCATAGAATCTTAATCCAAGGGACAGAAATTTGAAGACAATAGAACAGTTCTCCTTAAAAGTATACAAATCTGCATATTCTCAGCTTGTTCAGGAGTTTAATAAATTGGTCTTTTTCACAGAAGACTGGCAGAACTTCCACTGGAAGTTTGCTGGAGATGGCTAATTGACCTGAGCTGTAGACATTCTGTAGACATTTTACATAGAAATCTATCCCAGCAGTCAGTTGGAAGGATATTTTATTGCTCAGCTGTATAGCTGATATTCAAAAATGTGTGGGTTTTGCAATTTCTGGGGCCAAGCTTTTACTTCTTCAGGAAGCAATATTTCCTTCTATGATTAATGAGTGTGTTGAATTGTCTAAGGTAGGAAACAACAGCTTGAAATTACTGTCATGAGCTATGGGAAACAAAAGGGAGAGTGTGGAACTAGATCTCCAGCAGGAAAACAGCTGGTAAAAAATTAAGCCAACTGTGTTTCCAAGTCAATCCTGGAATGCAGTATGCAAAACAACATGTGTTCAATCAGAAATCCTCAAAAGAAAAGACCATTTCGTCAAGCAGATTAGCTGCCTCAGATGAAGGACATTATAAGCAGCTGAGAAACTTGTACCTCTGTAGGTCTTCTTTTCCTTGATTTCCTTATTTTCTATGATTCCAACAGGAGCTGAGAGCATTCAGCATCATAAAATAGGGGAAGCTTTAAGGGAGTATGACAGCAGGTACTGTCTCCAGTCTTGAACGAAACAAATTTCTTTTGATACTTAATGGTTTTCTCCTAAGACAGCCCACACTCACTAATCTCTTCTACACCATTAGTCTCACTCCTGCCTCTTGGTGGGAAAAAGAAACTGCAGAAAATTCTACCACATCCATTAAACTTCATCCTGTCATTCCATCCTCTGATCACACCTTTGGAGACATTCCTAACTGCCCCATGGGCAAACAGCAAGACAGAAACTTTACCAAAGCTCTGGAAGGCAGACATAGAGATTTTATATATGCATTTATATATATATATATATATATATATATTCACAAGAGCAATTGTTTTATCTTAAAACCTTTCTAAACCAGAATATACTGCAGGTTTTGGCAGTAGAGATAAAATATTACGGGATCCAGCCTTATTTTGTTTTTCTCATCCAAATATACACATTGTTATAACAGAGAAATAATTGCATCCAGAATTATTACTGCTGCTTGATGACCAAATGCCTCATACACTGCTCTGCACATGAAACTACTGCAGATATTCATCTGGCCAAGAACAGCTTCTTTTGGGTGGAGGAAAATAAAAGAGGCATAAACATGGTTCACTTAAAATGCAGTGACAAAAATGGCATTTGAAGGCCTGTGTTCAAAACAGTCCCATATTGTTATTACAGATGGAAACAGTGAGGGAAGAGAAACAGAAGAAACAAAAGCCAGCTTTTGTGAGTTCCAGAGCAATCCCTTATGATCCTGGGTCTTGTATAAGATGATTTGGAAGCTTTGGAAAGGCATTCAGGGTCTCTCCCTGAATAAGGCACTGAAACACACTGTCTTCCATGAGCCTGGCCCAGTGCCACGACAGTTTCTGCATAATTCATTGCACATTTTGCTAAGTGTTCTCTGTATATCTATATAGATGTATACACATAGACATATATGAATTTTTCCATATGTTTTCCTGCAAAATAGAAAATAAAATAAAATAAAATAAGTTACATAATGGAATACAGAATTCAGAATAAGACAAACATAGTACCTGTTGACATGTCACATGTACCCCAAAACTAAACCAGAGAGGCGTTGATTTTGAAAGTACCCTAAGTCTGTAGATATAAATTATTTCTTGTTTAACACAGTTTTCATATAACCCAGCCAGGAGGGCTAATGTTTGACTTCCCGAGTACCTTCTGCCCTTTTCAAGCCCCATCATCTTTTAAGCTTATTAGCACTATTCCTAGCAATTCCTTGTGTCATTCTCAGTAACAATATGTTGATTAGGGACAAAACTATTTTTTCCCCACCCTTAGGTCTCCAGAAGCAAAGAGCAATCCTGAACCTCATAATCTTTGAACATAAGATGCTTAAGAGATGTAGTAAATAGATCACTATTCTTATGAAAAGAATGCATATTCTTCAAGTGTCATTGTCCCTGTATCTTTTTTTCTGCAGTTGAAAAGAGATTCAAGTAGAGATGCTATTCTTTCCATAAGAAATACATAAAGTATAGCATTATTTTTCCCCTCCGAGTGATCAGTGATTTAAACACTGCTTGAGACAGAGTTTGTAATCTAATGACACATTTAACAGACACCAATGGGTCTAATCTTACTTTAATTTGTCTAATTTTTAATCTATTTTCATCTCACGTCTTCTGAATCAGCAAGCTTCACAGTTTGTTCTTTGTTTTCCTTTTGAAGTAATTGCTTAAAAGTATTATGAAATACCTTTGCATTTTTTGTTGTCAGAATTAGTGAACAAGGAGCTGAATCTTTAAATACTGTGTCTGCTCTGGCTATGAAAAAAGCCAATAAGAACAGTCCATCAAGAGGTCTGATAAAACAGATATATCATGTTTCATTTTACAAAATATTGTATTTTCAACCCTTTTTGATTTGTGATTCCCCGTCAAGCTTCAGTGGAAGTCTTTAAGTTCAGGGTTCAGATACTCATTTGTTATGCTTCAATCACGTGTGTAAATTGGAATTATTTACACTAGAGTCTGAAAACTGGGGCCTTGATTTAACTCAACTACAGCTGTTACCTCCCACATGATGGGATTGTGTGAGTTCACATTTTATCTCAGTTCTTCTTCTTCTTCTTCTTCTTCCTCTTCCTCTTCTTCCATTTCCTCTTCTGAGCCATCCTTATTCTTTGAACTGTTGCTGAATTCAAGGTTCCCTTCAATATCCAGTACCTGTAAATGCTTCAGGTTTTGGAAGGTACTTTCTTTCAGTGCTCCAACTGCAATCTTATTAAACCTTAAACAAACAAAAAGGCACTCCTGTTAAAATAAACCCATTTTTATATACAACACTGAAATTAGGGGACTAAGAGGAAACCATTCTGCAGCTACTCTACACTGACCCAAGTTACTCTAAGTTTACACTGACTCAAAACAGCACTCTAGAAGTGCTGACTCCTCTGGATGGGGGAAGAAAAAAAATCAGAATATTGGAATTCCTCCCCCACAAATTCTTTCTCTTGCTGTTCTCCTTTTTCCTTCCCAGAGAGGAAAAGCATCTGCTTCACAGCCCATATTTTAAAGTATAACTGATTTTTCATAAAATTCTGTGTCATTCCTTGACAGTTTAATTCTTCACCTACTAAACTCAAAACAAAGTAACCCTTTAAAGACAAAGCAGTCATTTTTCAGCTGTTATTTGCATTTCCAGGAATACAAGTAAACTAATCTGCAGTTTATGAACCTGTCATATATACTGGTCTGTTACTTTTGAACATGCTTAGAACTGTATTCTGTGTACACTTCCATATGTATATTATTGTTTCACAGCACTGCAGTGATTAATGGCCTCCCATTAAAAATACGACTGAGCTTGGGTGGAGTTGCCTCCTGAATATGTTAGCAAAACTGTTTTGCAAATTCCTTTTTTCTTTATATAGAAATATAGAATGTGGGATGTGGTTTCTGGTTCACATCCAAGCATTCACTAAAATCTCATAAATGTGAGCAGCTGAATAGACAGACTGCTCTAATTTACACCAGACTTTGTAATTTTATTTGCTTGGTATGGGATCATTCATCCATAAAGGTATGCTCCAGAACTGTTCAGAACTACAGGGCAGTTTAGCTGCATATAGTCAGAATAAGACCATATTTAGTCTTCTGCAATCTAGACTTTCTGAACACAGCCATTTGATCAGCTTAATAATATATTAAGGAATTCATAAATTATTTCTAATTAATATTTTCAATAATATTCCTTCAGATTAAAACTGAATATATTACAGGCACAGATTCCCTTCTTGTGCTAGAAACCTCTGCTTCAGTCAGTTGTTACTGTGAGTTTACATTACATGTAAAAAAGGTCAATATCTGTCATCTACAAAAACAAAGTCCTCATCCAACTGACAGTGGGAGAGAATCCAGCAAAGCCCCTAAACTGGGTTACATAACTGTCACAGTTGTAACTTGTCACTTGTTTCTGACAAAGCTGTCAAGGGAATGCACACAACTCCAAGATTAGTCACACACACCTCACTGGAAGGGGATTTTGTCAAAATCCAGGGCCAACAGACACAGGCAAAGCTGCACTTCTACAAGGGGACTGTAAACTTTTGGCTCACAGCTGAATATTGGAATATGACATCAGGTTAAACATTAATTGCCCAGAATTACTGGCATGCCCAGTCTAATAAGCATAGAAAAGTCAAGCTCTCTAAAAAGAGCTTATTATGTGTATCCATGTAGTTTCTGAGCAGATAAATATAGTTTTGTCACACATTAGTATAAACTAAATATGCTTGTTCAGAAAGCAAGGATTTTAAATACTTTCTAAAAAGTAAGTAATTATAAAGTAGATGAAGAAGGAAAAAAATCTTGAGTGTTGAAGTGGAAGCTTAACCTTACCTGAGGTAAATCCCCTTTATTTTGGGTGTGGATTCAAAAGCATTCTCTGAAACCGTTGTGATCTTGTTGTTCTGGAGATACAGATATTCCAGAGATTCTGGCAGGCCTAATGGAATAGATGTCAGTTGGTTGCCAGCCATGTCTAGTGACTGCAAGGAAGAGACAACAAGGGGTCAAATAACTGAATTTAAATATTAGAAACACTCCAGAAAGAGATTTAAGTTCGAAGTTATATTTATTATAGAATAAATTAATTTAATCTACCTCTAATTTGCAGCAAGGTAAGTGTGGCCAAGACAATTCTAGTCTCTTACACTCCTATGGAGCATCCTGATTTCACATGATATGTCATGCTGGTTTGTTTCAGAGTTCCACCATTTCTTTATCTCTGTCTCCAGGCATTAGCCCATGTCTGTTTAAGTAAATTAAAAACAGGCTGGGTTTCAGATATGCAGAATTCCTTGGCATCTGCTACTGCAAACACTTTGCTGGCTAAGGATGGTGATAGGTACAGTTATACATAAAACCATCTGGAAATATTCTAACATGGAGAATGTATGAAGACAGCAGGACTAAAGGTCATGGTCGTTTCTCAGATTAATTTTATGCAAGAATATTGATAAATGGAAACGTTTTGTAATCCTGTATTGTAGTATTTTCATAGCACCAACCTGACACTATTTATCCACTACTCAAAGCCACACTTCTGCAAACAATTGTCCTCATTCCAGTGTTTTTATTCCTCACATAATGCCAGTCTGGAAAACAATTATCATAGAACCATTGAATTGTTTAGGTTGGAAAAAAGTTTTAAGATCATTGACTCCAACTGTTAACCCAGTACTGCCAAGTCCATTATGTAAATGTCTTGCTTTGCAGTTGCAGAGTCTCCAGTGATTTCCATGGAAACAGTGTGGACTGAAGCATTTACTAAGTATATGCATAATCAGGATCTTTATGGAGGGTTATTTGCCAAATTCACTCCAGTGCAACAACTCAGAAACCAACTGCGCAGTTAAGCACTTAATAATAAAAAAGATTCAGCGGGAAACAACCAACAAGAAGTAACTCTGTTCCAAAGAAAAGCAACAGCCATAAATGCCCCATTACTCCAGCAGAACTTTAGGTCTGTGCTATTATCTGAACCCTGTTTAGTGGGAGTGGGGTTTGCTCTGGGGATGGCCAATGGTGGAGTCAGCAACACCTCTGGCTTTACACCGACTGCAAGGGAGGGAGAGCAGAACAAAAGTTCCACATAATTGTGAATCAGGACCTTTGAGAAGGAAAGCTTGTCATTCCAACCAGCAACTCCAGCTGCCCAGCAGGGATCATGACCCATTTTTGTTTGAAAATAAAACAACCTACATTTTATTAAGGTACTGCAAAAATCCAATCCCAGCCGTCTGTAATTTTTCAGCAGCATTTTCCTTCCAGACTGCTTTGCATGTTAAATATATTTGCTCACACACATATCAGCGAGGCACCAAACAAATACAAAAGGTATTATTAAAGCCAGGGACCAAATCTGCAGCTGATGCAAACAGCTCTGCAGACACTGTTGCTGCATTGCTGACTGACATTAACTGAGAAACAAGCTATTGGTTATTCTCAGACATAACGAAAGGGAAACGTTCCTATAGATTAACGTCAGGATTGTCTGAAAACACACTGGGGGCCAGTGTGACATATGCTGCATGTCCTTATCCCTGATCTGCTCTGAGATGTGCACACTTTGCCTGTGCAGTGACCTGACCATATGCCCCCTCCATGGCTGCTGAATGACACAGGCAATACCTTTCACTGCAGGAAAGGGGCCGTTGCCTAAAAGGAAATGCAGACAAATCCTTCAGCCGGCGTAACAATTCTGAAAGGTCATTTTGCTCAGCACAAATGTGATTGTTCCTGCCTGCCTTATGGTTTGTGTTTAACTTTCTCCAACAATTAAGCAAATGAGAAGACTGCTGATTGAATCCAGACTCCGAGCTGCTCCCCAGGTGCCTTAGCCAGCTGAGCTGCTAAATCCTACAGCTTGGCTTGTCTGACTATAAGCTGATGTGGGGGCTTTGAGAATTAAGAGTGTTTTTGTTTATGCATTCCTTCCTCCTGCTGTCTCTATTCAGAGCTGATTTTAAATCTTTTGGGAGACGAGCTATTTGAAAGGCCTGATTTCAGTTTTAATGACAACATTTGCTGATGTTTTTCTGAAAATATAGGACAGTGTCAGGATTCAGAAACAAAGCTGGACTGGCCAGCAGTGGAAGGTACTCACCTCTGGCACAACAGCACACCATTTCTACTCTAGAAACAGAGTGTGTAGCACTTAAAATACAACCCCAAAACACGAGGACCAAGCACATTTAGTATTGCTGCTACATAATTTGATTTAGGCATACAGATGAGGATATCAACATCATTAAAACAATTAGAGAAGGTGATGTTTCTACCTGAAGACTGCTGAGTTCTCTCCATGCTCTTGAATAAATTGAATTTACTTTCAGTTTATTGTTGCTCAAATACAGTTCCCTCAGTTTTGTCATCCCAGATAAAGTCCCTTTTGGGATGATGCTTATCTCATTCTCCTTCAGCTTCAAAACCTGCAAGTTCTTTGGAAAGCCATAAGGCACCGTGTGGAGATTGTTTCCAGAAAGATCCAGGGACTTCAGTTGCCGCAGTTTACGGAAGGCCTCCCGATGGATCTGGGAACTTGTGAGCTTGTTGTAGCTCAGGTTCAGCTCTTCAAGGAAGTAAGTGGTAGCAAAGTCATTCCTGTTAATCTCTGAGATCTGGTTATGAAGGATCATCAGTGTCTTCACTCGCCGGGGCAGCCCGCTGGGGATCCTTTCCAGCATGTTGTTGTACAGGTGGACAGTGTGCAGCTTCTTTAAGCCCTGGAAGGCTAAGGGGTGAATACCTCGGGCTTTTAATTTGTTATTATGGAGCAGAAGGTACTCCAGGTTCTTAATTTGGGTCAAGACATCTCTGTCAATCACCTTAATTGCATTCTTCTCCAGGTGGAGGAGGACGATGTTTCGAGGTAAACCACTTGGTATTTGTGAGAGGTTATTGCTGGACAAATCCAGATATTCAAGACTAGACAATTTCCTTGGGAAAGCAGGAAAGAAAACACTTTGATTCTGCAAGGTGAAACAATAACCAGCTTGCTCAAAGATTTTGCAATCTTTGCTTTAGAGCCTTTTTACCCAGCACAGCTCCCACTACTGACTGCCCTTTTCTGACTTGTCATATGAGTGATGTGGACACCAAAACAGGGAGCTCCCATATTGCCATCAGGGATTAGGACTTGGCACTGCCACTGCTCCCCAGTCACACCAGCAAGAGAACATGCCAGTGTCCACAGACACCCAAACTGTCACTGAGCTGAGGCCTGAGATCAGTTGTGCAGTCCCAGATAGCAACATATGAGCAATTGCAGTGAACAAATACCACAAGGAAGATGCCATGGGAGCACCACCAGAACACAGAGTTTAGCTCTCAGTTTCACAGAAACAAAGCCTGAGCATGAGTAATTTCTGTTTCTCTTAAAGTATTTGCTGAAAGTGAAAGGCAGGTCTGCTTTCTAGATGATGAAATGTTACTTTTATGAAAAGCAGAAATGCTAACTTAGTGTCCTAGGCTAAGGTAGTGAACTTCTCGTGACCCTCCAGTATTATGGAAGTGAGTCAGGGCTAGAGCTGCTTTGTGTAAGCTACTGAATCTGGATTCCACGGTCTCAGTTGAAGCTAAATTAAATCCTCAGACCAGCCACTTATAACCAACTGGATGTGGATCAATGGTTGTTCCACAGCCAGGACTGAGGAACCCTGTATTCCCTTGTATTTCAAGGCAGTTTCTCAGTTCAAATTAGAGTTTTAATCTGCTTGACACGACATAACCCACTGCAGATGACCAGAGAGTTTTCAGGAAACAGGAGGGCTAATGTGTTACAGACATTACTTACTGGTTACTACACTGCTGCTCCAGCTATCCAAGCATGCTCTGAATAAACAAATATAATCTTTAGGTAAAATGCTCCACTGCTGCCATTTGAAAGGTTTCCCCAGGATGGGAATATCTTAACAGAAATTATATGTCCAACATGACCTGGAGGTGGACTCATACAGATATAGTAACTGACTAAGGGAGGTTTCTGGGAATGGGAAATGGAAAAGAAAAGCACAGTTTGGTACATTTTTGTGTCTAGAGATCAGGAGGGTTTACAGAACTAAATTATGGGCAGGACCAATTGTGTGGTCTGGATTTTCATGTAGAACAAAGACAGCATTCCGTGTAAGCAGAGAAAAAAATTGTTAAACTTTTGTAGTGCTAAGTCCCAGGCTAAATCTAGGACAGCCAAAGGCTATTTCTGTTGCACCAGTTGGTAGGAAAGCTTTTGCAGCCATCTGGCTCTTGAGCAGCACCACTGCAGCCCTGCCTGCTCCAGCACCCACCTGCACTGGGGTACAGCTGGGCATGGGGAATTCACAGCTGTGTATCTGGGGCTGCTTTCAAGCCATTTCCACAGAAACCCACAAGTGGCTCCAGGGAAGATGAAGGTCTGGCTTTAATGCCCAGTGAAGTGCCCTAGAAACTGGAAAGTCACAGGTAACCTCACTTTTGACTGTTTTCAGAGAACAGAGAGTAGCTTTCAATGTTGTTCTACGTGGCTGTTCCCAGAAGGGACTTAGTACCTGGTGTGAGTGGGTCTGTGACAGGCAGGGAGTGGTGCAGTCTAATGTTCAGTGTTCTGTCTTTTGTATAAAACAATTCTGCAACCACTCACCCAGACCTTTGCTCTTGAATGGCAGCATCTGCATCTCAGCAGTGAAATGCATAACACCATCCAGCTTTCAATAACTTTACTTTCTACTGTGTTCTTTGTTCAGTAGATGCAGGACTGTCCCAGAGGGGGCAGACAGACACAGAGGTACACAGTGCACATCTCAGTCTCACCAGAAAGTTTCGTTGTCCATTCCCTCATTAGACAAGTAGTTATTCTGCAAATACAGCTCCCGCAGACCAGCAAGCTCACTGAAGGCTCCTTTGGGAATCTTCTCCAGCTTGTTGCTCTAGAGTCACCAGAAGCACAAAGCACAGTATTTGGCATGAATCAACACATTTGGGTTCTGTTCAACTAGCATAGGCAATTAAACTTCAGAAGGGCTAGACATAAAATATTTAGGGGGCATTATAATGTCTGTGATGGACAGACTGGACCAGATTCATTTGTCAACCAATATAAAGTAGAAACCAACACAGACAAATTTGGCTGTCTCAATAAATAGTAAAAGAAAAAAATCACATCTAAAATGCATCTGTCAGATATTTTTGGTCCACTTTTGTCTGCCTCTCATTTCTCATTGTCCTGGTTTTTCCCAGTCCAAATATCAAGTTAAATATTACTACTGACAGATTGTGCACTTGCAAATAAAACACTCATTTCTCTGCTCATCTCCTCTGTCCTTAGCACAGCTGGGGACAGCAGGGAAGGAGACAAGTTCAAAGTGTAATCCTCACAGTGTGAGAACCCTTTGGGAGATAATGATTATCTGTAAGTGTTGAAAAAATGCAGGGGACAAATAAGTTCATATTTTGGAGAGAAATTCCAGCAATTTAAAGGACTGGACTGGTTGCATTTACTTTTATTCAAGCTAGAGAAGCCTGGTCTCTAAAAGACTTTAACAGGAATTCTGGTGAAACCTTCAAGGGAAAAGAGAGCTGGGAGGCAGCACAGAGCTGCCTCAGTCCAGGGCTGATAACAGACTCCGGTCTCTGCACGTCCAAGGAGCTGTCAACACTCAGAGCAAGCAGACCCAGGACCCCCCACCGCTGTGGCTCTCCCATTGCTGAGGCTCAGATCTCCAGCTCAGACATGATGAAGCGTTTTTATCAGAATCAGATGACATGGAATTAAAAATGCTGGAGAGTAGTTAACAGCACAACTCTGCTCTTGCACTATGGCTGGAAGAGTTGTAGTAATAGAGAATGCCTGATCCAAACTGAATTGCCAGCTCAGTAGCAAGCAGCAGCCACTGATGGTGGGAAGCAGTGGTCTGTGTGAAATGAGTCAGTGAGCAAAGCCAGTACAGAGTGGGTAAGCAGCTGTCAGGACAAGTGGCATTAGTGGCAAACTTAACTGGGAGGTCATGGAGGCACGTCCATGGAATGATGCACTTCCTGCTCTAATATGTATTAATATCGTTCTGTGCAGGGAGGAGACCAACAATGCAACCACACAGGGATTTGCAATACAATTTCTGTGTTTGATTCTGCAAACAAAGAAAGGCATTTCTGCCGCCTGTGAGCATTCTGGTGATTTGCAAAAACACACTATTGCTTATGGACAAAAAAGGAAGGAGATGGGATAGCTACTGTTAAGAATGCAGCAGGCAAGGCTTAAAGTGGGCCTGGGGATGTTTCCAGGGGCACTGGGATGTCTTGGCTGTGTGGTGTGAAACCCACACAAATACAGTATTTTGTCACAATCCTAAAAGATTACAAAATGTTGTTGCCATTACCTGTAAGTGTAGTTTATATAGTGCTGGAGGGAGATTCTTTGGAACATACTTCAAGAAATTGCTGGACATGATGAGTATCTCCACATTATTGGAGCCATTGAACATATTATCAGGTAACCCAGCATCTGAAAGTTTGTTGTTATGAAGATACACAGATCTGTTGGAAGGAAGCAAAAGATGAAGTTCAACAGATAAGCAGATCTGGAGTTTTTGTTTACTGAGAGAAAGCTTAGTTTAAAACTTAATTTCAAACTAATCTTCTTTCCTTGAGATAATTAGATTTGTTTTTAAAATGTGCCTTTTAATTTAGCAAGGGATACAGATGTAAAACCAAATGGTCAGCCCAATACTCTCTCAAATTAGGACTATTCAAAATCCAAACCTGCACATGAATACAAATTTCACAAGTGGCCTCAACTTCTTTACAAGAAACTGAGTGCAAGTCTGGGACTGTGCAGCACTTAGAAACACAGAATGTCAGTGTGGGGGCCCTACTCAGAGGGTTAGAATTCATCTGTTTTTAACAGATATGGCCCCAATTTTAACTTCTATTTGGAACTGAGTCTGGACTGCTTAGGCTTACAAAATCAGCCTGGAGGTCTCATAAGAAAGGATCATCTCTTAACCTTCCATTCTTTCTGCTCCCATGAAGGCTGGAAACACCCCAGGAAACCGTTTCTCTCCTACTCCTAGAACTCAGAATAGGATACTGACAGAAAGACAACAGATTTACTCAGTCTGGCAGACTTTTCTCTTTTCTGTGCTTTGGTTTTTAATGAGCCATTGGGATTGAGAGACAGAGTTTCTTACTTTTCCTTTTCCTTACACAGGTTTCAATTCTGTACAAAGCAATGTACTTCTATGAAGTTATTCCTCCTTTTCACTGGCTTAACTGCTAAATTAATTCATTTTACTTCTTTTTAACAAAAGAAATTATAGGCTTTTAGTGACTTTGATTACCTCTTCCTTTTCTGTGTTTACCCCCAGATAAATTTGTAGAGAGAGGTTAAAAATGCAAAAGTGTCAAAGTGAGCTTTTTTAACTTGTTCTTGGATTCTCTACCAGTAGCAGAGAACTTGGCAACATCCTTCTGGAAGGAAGGAAAGGCTGAGTATGGAAATACAATTGTGTGATCACACACTCCAGGGAGTTCAGAGCTACACTGGAAGTATTGTTTACCCTGCATGGTCAGCTGTACTTTTAACTCACAAATATTTGCCTTTCTGAAAAATTTACTCTCCAAATAATCAGTCTGAGATCGTGAACTCTGCTGGGGGCAAAAAAAACAACTGAAACAACTGTGTTGGGATTTTATATGAGGAACCTTGGAAATCAATTAGCTCTTATTCTGATTAAAATTTGTGGTTGTATAGAAGAGTGTGAAAATCGTTTCAGAAGAGTCAATAATTTTAATATGGGATCAAAACACAGCAGCATCTCCACCTGAGATTAAGGAAGAAAACAACAATTAATCTATCTTCTTTCATATGAGATACTGCCAGAAATCTGTGAGTGACTCAGCCCTTTCAGCTTCCAAGAGCCTGAGAGACTAAAGGCCCAGGAAGTGCAGAGCAGCTCCAGCTCTCAGTGAATTCAGGGGAATGGAGAGTTCTTCAGTTCATCACAAGGCTGGGCTGCAGCTGGGTCAGCTGTAATTAACTGCTTCCAAACCTGGCTGCACAAATTGCTCCCAACAGTTTGGGATGTCTTTGCAGGATCTGGATGGTGCAGTGTATGGATGCTGCAGATCACTCAAGACCCATTCAGAAAAACCCACACCTCACAGGAGGGGGTCTGTGTGCCTCTGAGTTTGACATGGATGTGCTGCTATCAATCCAGATGAGAAAATCACAGCCTGAACCTAGCAGAGACCTTTGTCAGCAGATCTGGAGTATGAACCCCTTCTGAAGGTGCTGAAGTGCTTACCTTGAATAGAACTGAGTTACACTGCACTGAGTATTGTCCTGTCCACCTGATTTTACTTTTAAAAATGAACATTCTATAATAAAACTAGAGATTTCCAGACAGCTAATCTCCATTTTGAGAAACTTAATTGCTCTTTTCAACTCAAATACACAAATAAAATGGGGACAACTTCATTTGACATTTGCAGAAGTGTCTGGCAGCAAGCAAAAGACCTTGGAATGTGTTTGTTTGATCTTTCATGCTGAGAATAACAAACAGCTTCTTTCCAAAAACACGAGTAGGTAATAATATAGTTTAGCCAGATATTTTCTTATCAACCACCAACTGCATCCAAGCAGTGGCAGAACACCAGTATTGTTTTACTTCCCAGTTCCTTACCTCAAGTTTGGTTTCTGTCCAAATGTGAGCCCATATATCTTAGTGAGATAATTGGCTGCAAAATCTGCACTGATCAAGGTATTTGGTAGGAATTTTGGAGCCACTGTTAGCTGTAAAAGAAACATACATGGGAGGTCCAATGAAATGTAGCAAATATTTTAACCAAGTATTAGAGCAGCAGCAAAACACTTTCAAATTTATCTTCCCTAAACAGGCAAAGATAAATTAAACTGAATGTAGATTTCATGAACAAAAACAAATTGTCCTCACTCACTAATCTCTCCAGGAAGGAGACGGACTTTTGCTCTAAGATATGAAAATGTTTGTTTTGGTTGGAAGGGTCCTGTCTCTTTTTGGTGAAAGAAATCAAGAAATTGTTATTCAGAGAGCAAACACTTTGCTTATTATTGTTCCTAATTCCTCAGCCCGCTGTGCCAAAAAAACTCCAACCCCCCTCACAGTGACCTACTGCTCATTCTCTTACAAAAGTGTGTTGTGGATGGGAGGTGTCACTTCACACATCTGCTCCACTGCAGCCATTTATGATGATCTCTGAAGTGGGGATTCAGGCTCCCAAAGAACAAGGACACTTCTGAGCCAAATGATGGAATATTGAATGGTACTTCAAAGCAAAGGGTACAGTAATACCTTGTTCAATAAACCAGTGATGCATCAGGAAGAACAGAAAGGCGCTGTCCTCAAAACTTCAGAGCTGAAAACAGGTATAGGATTGAATGTGTTGCTCTTGTTGCTGTTTTATCAGTGATTTTAAAAGCTAACCCTAGAAATGCCTGCATCTGAACAAATTGGTGGAGTGAAAAGCAATGATCAAAAAAAGCTCCGTTTTGGAGAGCATCCAGGTGATACAATAGCCAGGTTCACTGAGTGGCTGTTAATAACAAAGTCATTCACCACAAACCAAGAAGACAGGTTACAATCCAGGCTGGATGGAGGACAGTTTTCTGTCCTCCCAGAAGCTTTATGCATTAAGATAAAGCCCTTGGGAAAAAAAAAAAAATTTAACACAATGCTGTAGCAGATGACCCTTGAGTAGAGAAGACACTGAATTGCAGTCAGCAGGTGCAGCCACCCCGGTTACAGGTGTTCACTGCAGTACTAATGAGACCACTCTGTTTTATGTCCACTCCAAAGGGAGATACTGAATTCTTTGAGATCAGGAGGGGAAACTGGGGCAATGGAAGGGATCTGCCTTCTAGCCTGAAGTTCATGGAATCTGTAATCTTCCTCACAGCTCTGTTGTGTGAAACAGAACCTGGTTCTTTCAGCCTACAAAGCACAGCAAGACTCACATAATGAGAAACCATATTTTTCTAACTTTTATTACCATAAAACTGCAGTGGGTTATGAATAATAGTGTAAAACCAAAAATATCTAAGATATGAACACTTTATGAAAGAAGAGACACTTTATTGGAGAACTGCCTAACCCAAGCCTTAAACTATGTCTAAAGGCTGCCTACACCCCTCTCTGCTGGTATGTTGAGAGTGCATTGATGAACTCCATCCATGAACTTCCAACTTACTGCACTCATAAAATGGTCTTTTTTTTTTTAATGAATACATTATTTACTGTTTTCATTTTCAGCTGTCCCAAAACCTCCATCCTTAGCCTGTCTTAAACATTTGTGTGTCACAAACACACAAAAAGATCTTTCCCACAAATCACACTCCTATCAGCATTCCCAGATGGTTTGTGAGCACTGGAATGAGCCATTCTGCATATTCCTGCAGTTGCTCTTGGCTTTGGTGGTAATCTCTCACCTCCTGATCTGGGAGATATGATTTCGGGGGGCTGGATAAAAGCACTCATCTCTGACTGAGAAGGTCTGACAGTGCCTCAGAAAGAAATAAGTCTCTGCCATGATGTAACACTGACAATTCAGACACAGGAAACAATCATTTTCATACACAGTGGTACATTAAAACTTTTCTCCAGTCAATTAGGTCATAACTTTTGTACAAAGCAAAGGGCATGGCTCAGACATGTGAAATGAGACACATCAGAACCACAAGAAAGAGGAAAGAGAAAAAGAAGTTTAATCCAAAAAGAGTTTTCACTTGCTCAGAATTTTGCTTTGGCATTTCAGCACTTGGTCATGAGACTGATTTTCACTGATTACCTTCTTGAAGGATTCATGCTGGATTGTTTTAAGTGTTAGCAAAAATAAAGTTGACTTGAATAGCTTTGTCTAATTTATTGCCTAACAAGAAGCAATCTGCAATTTTCTTTCAACTTTCCTGCTGCACCTTCCTTTCCATATGACAGAGTGTTTCTCCACTGTTAACTAATTAATTCAAAAGGTTAATACAAAAGTCATTACCAGATTTAAATTGTTTGGATTTTTCTTGCTTGGATGAAGCTTTGATAAAAACAGAAGTGCTAGACTGAGGTGAATCCCATATCACTTTGAGGATATGGGGAAATATAAACCTTCTGTCATCAAAATCACCTGCTTATAGTCAATAATGACAGCTCAGGATCAGGTCTATCATTTGGTGGAACAATTTCTCTCATTAACAAGGTTTACTGTGCACTCTATTTGAGAAACACAAAACATGAGAGTGGAGAGAAAAATTGGAAACTACTGCAGCCACTCTTTACTTGAAATACTTGTTACTCACAGGCCACAGAAGGCTTTTAGTCTCTTACTTTTCTTTTCTCTGACCAACTGTGCCAGTTTAATGAAAGATGATTTAGCTACATCTGACGGGATCACAATGGAAGATAAAGCAGCATTAAGATAATCCATAAAACAAGAAGCAAACTACCAGCAAATCCCTGCTCTCCTCCAGACACCACAGTAACTTGATCCCCAGTGTTTCCTGCTGCAGAGGAGATGCAGTTTGAAGCCAATCTGGTTTGTCCTGGCTTGTGATTTATAAAGAAATGTGTTATTTTTGCGGGTCCACAACTTCTCACTATAACTACTTGTGACATTCGCTGATGTTTGCAATTTCTTTTGGGATTCTTTTCTCTCTGCAGCAAAGCCAGAAAAACCAAGCACTTTGTTGTGTTACACAGGGAAAATCAGAGTGCTAGGTTCTGGAATATTAGTCACAGTCTGGCTTGTTCCTTTTTATGGAGTTATTAACTGCCAAGATTGTTACATGGAAATGGTGCTTGAAAGAGAGAAAAGAACACAATGTTACTGTACTTAGGAATGGGTTCTATTCTCAATCACTCCATACAGAAATGTATGGAGTGATTCTGGATGTGTCTTGGCCTGACTGAAACCTGAATGTGGCCACATGTATTTAATCAGAACATCAAATAGTACCAGATTTTAAGAGGATAATAAAATATATATACAGACATGCAGAGAGAGAGAGAGAGTGGGATGGAAGGGCAAGATTTTTGTAGACAAAGAAGCTCTGCCTGATGTTTTAACTTATATTTTTCTGTGGGTCCTAATTTCTTCTGTAGCAAATATTTGTGGACAACCACTGGGAATAAAGGAAGCCATAACAGGAACCACCCAGATGCAAGGGTATATTAGAAGCTATTTAATTTCCTTGCTAGCTTTGGCAGGAAAGATGTGCTTCTGTCAATACATCCAACGTGGGTCACAATAGGAAAGCACCTGGGATCTTCTCCATCAAAAGAAGAAATACAGCTCCTACCACTGCAGCTAAAAGAATAAATTAATGACTGGCACAGTTTCACTGTGTGGGGTATCCTCCCCATATTCAACCTAATAAGAATGAGAGTCAGGGAAAACTGGATAGCATTTTACAGATCTTGATGATTCAAACACAGGGAGTAGGATGTGTTTTTTCACAAATTTTTCAACCTGCCTCATCTGATAAGGCAGCATTTCACATAATTTCCCCACATACAGGCATGAAACAAATCTGCATGCAGCTGATCCAAAGCCTACTGAAGACAATGGTAATTTATGCATGCAGGGGCTTTCTGTACCTCCCCACACAAGGGAATCTTTTCACCAGGTGCACAAATAAACAAGTGTTCAAAATATACCTGCATGTGTAGCCTCTAAACTTCACATACTGTTTTGACCTTAGATGAACCTGCATTAGAATATCACTTTAGGACAGTTTTACTTATGTAGTATATACATTTTAAAAGAATGACAACTTGCTCAATTAATTTTCAGAACCCAATTAGAAAAGAGCTCTGAAAGGCTTTAGAGCCTCTTACCTTATTGTTTGCCAGGTACAGGTAATTCAGGTTCTCCAGATGCTCAAATGCTTCCTCTGGCAACCCTTAAAAACAGGAATAACTAATCAGTGACATCAGCACCTTACTGCCTTTCTGAGTGAACATACCAGAGGGCAGCTTTCCCTCTCAGTATCTTCCATGTGAGATTGAGACACTTTTTATAGCCACTGAAACAATCTGATTGAGACCTATTGATATATGTATTTTTTTATTGGAAAAAGAAAAAACAAATCCACAAACCAAATCAAACAATACACACTTGTTAAGAGCAATGGAGGACTATTTAAAATCCTGATCACACAAGGCTTGTGGCCAAGCCCACTGGCAGGTGTCAGGTACAGGGCTGTGCAGATCTGCTCTATGGCTGATTGTCAGTGCTTGGAGCAACAACGCTTTCTGAGAACCTTCTCCTGTAATTTGCATAAGATTCTGCAAGTCTTTTTTCTTGCAAGGGTATAATCTGAGGTTGCTTGATCAGATCAACCTGATGTATGACTATATTGCTAAAATAACCTGCATGTCACAACCCTTCTCTTGCTCTGCTCCTCCACAATTCAGGTATCCAAACAGTAACCAGCTCAGAGAGCTGGTCCAACTCAGGGCTTATCCTCCCCCAATAATTATTAATTTTCAGCTGAGTCACTCCACATCCAGCTGATCACACAAGCACAATTGCTGTCACAAGGGAAAGCCTGCAAGAAACACTTTCACCTGGCAATTGTCAAAGACAAAGCTATTTTCCACGTCCAAACACATTGGAAACTCAAGGCTGCACTGAAGCTTGTGAAAGAAAACATGAAGGCCCAAAGGTAATAATGGCAAAGGCTGGATATAATAAGCACAGCTTTCCCTATGCTATGTAAGATTGCTGTGCCTTAGGGCCTATGTATAATATACCCACATTCTCAGTAAATTTTGTTCTCTATCATTTCAGTAAAGATAAAAAGAGCATTCAGATCAAGTGGATAACACATAAATTAATAACAATTACATCTTTTGTATCCCATATCCTCCTCTCTTACTGTTTACTCCAATTCCTCTGTTTCTTTTACTTTCCTCACTAAACCCCTTGTTAATTTTCTCTAATAAGCATGAGACTGAACAAGCAAAACCTGCCTATGAAAATCAAAATGGTTTGAGAAGGGTAGAAATGTCCTTATTTGCAATATACATATAAATTCATACCAAATTTGACACGGACAAAACTGGACCAAACTGCCCTGACTGACTAGACTGAACTAAACAAGGTCATTCAGGAGGAAATCATTCAGCATGTGGACGTTTCTGGTTCTCAAGTGCATTGCATGGAAGTGCCTGTGGGACCAGAGGGAGTTTCCTGGATGAGGAGATCTCACGCCACAGTACACGAGCTGCTGCCAGGTCTCCTCCACTGGTTCAGCAGGGCTGCATTCCTCCACACTGAGTATTGTGTTTCAGATGATAAAGTGTCTCCATGCTCTGTGTGATGGCCAGAGGAGTGAGGCTCACAGCAAACCACTCCAACCAAGCAATCCATCACCCTGGCTTTCCTTATCAGCTGTCACTGTCCTCATTGCATAAGCTGGTGCTCTGGAGGCACAGGCTCTGTCCACCCCATGGCTCACCTTTTGAAGTCAGCCTGTTGTTTTGCAAATTGAGAGTTTCCAGTCTATAAAGACGAGCAAGCTCTTCTGGAAAGATTTCTTCTATTTGGTTATTCTAAGAAAATGGAGAGTATTAATCATCAACAAAGTAATTCAAAAAGGATCCCAGTAAACCCAGACTGTGAACTTCAATAAAATCTGGAAGTGAACCCACCATGTCAAATCCTTGTCAAGACTTCTCTCATAATGAGCCAAACTCAGATTTCAAACCCAAAACATCCAAACCCAGGAGTATTTGAAAGCCCAACTTCTGCTCATCCCCAGGAATATCCAGCTTATGCAGCAGTAGCACACAAAGAGTGTGATTATGCCTGGCAAGGCCCACAGTCCATCTGCCACAGCCAAACCTTGTAGCTGCAGCAAAGCATTAGTTACAAGGTTGGCACAGTGGATTTCCAAGCTCATGGCTTCTGTTATTCATGGGTTGTTTTAAAAGCCACTGGTCACGGGCAGGGAGTGTCAAACCAGGCTCACTTGCACTGGTTGTGCTGTCAGGGGTGACTGCCGTCAGATTTTCATTAACATGCTGACTAACATTCCAGCCAGTAAAGTTTTAGCTTTAGCATCCAGGGGACCAGTCAAGGACCCACTGCCCTGGAAGCCAGGCCAGTGCACAGAAAGTGACAGCTGCAGCTCCAAAAAGCTTCTTTTCTTTTGGTAGCAGAGGCAGGAGTCATGGCTAACACACGCCTGGGACAGATCTGCTGAGGACAGTGCCAGCTTACATTACAGTTTTTTTAACTGAAAAGCTCTAAAAAAAAATCTGCATTTCATCCATTGGGCAGAACTGACAGATGGGAACAATAAACCAAAAGCAGCTGGTGAAGGGCCAGGCATTGAAAACCTCAGCCACTGCCATTGCTCCGAGGAGGCACAGCCACAGGGCTGACATGCTCTGGCCTTTCAGGTGTCAGAGCACTGGCAGGGAAAGGACACCTGCTCAAATGCAGGCCACAGGGATCAATCAACAAGAGCAGTGCATAGAAACCTGCTGACAGTCTAGGACATGCTGATTCTTCTTCCTGAAGCTGGAATCTCACATCTTATATGTCTTTTTCATGACAAGACATGAGGTGTCTGAAGCAGGACCGCTTGCTGTAGACATGCCACTCAGGGTGATGGGTGGCACGGGCCATGTCACAACCTGCTCCTTGCTGAGCCCATGTGCTGCAGGGAGAGGTGGGACAATGGGGGACATGGGCTGGCCCTGCCTCTGGACTGGCTCACTGTGTCTGAACTAACACACCGTGCTGCCCAAAGAATTCTCTGTCATTTAGCCCACCTTCTTCAAAGACACCTCAAATGGAAGGGCTCCACCAGAAATTTGGGCTGGCCAAAGGAGAAACAAGAAATTGTTAGTTTGGACAAAAATTTTCTCATGGAGCTGTGAGAGCATGTGGAGCTCTTTTTCCCCTCCCTGGATGTGAGGGGAGAGCATGCCGATAACCAGGTGCACTCGTCGAGCTCGGGAGCCGGGCCTGCTGCACCTGCTGCTCCCGGCGGGAGCCGAGGAGGGGCTGAGGGAAGGAGCCGGGGTTCAGGGGCGGAATGAGGGCACGGGGGGGAGATGGATCGCGCCCTTACCTGGAGGGAGAGATGGTTGGTCAGCTCGGGCAGCAGCAGCGGGAACTCCTTGAGGTCGATGCCCCCGCAGTCCACGACGCCCTCCTGGGTGCAGCCGCAGTCGCGGGGGCAGCCGGGGCCGGGCCCGGGCCGCCGCCGCTCCGGGCCGCCCTCGGCGAAGTCGCTGTCGGCGGCGCAGCCCAGGGCCAGCAGCGCCGGGAGCCCCAGCAGCGCCAGCAGCGCCCGGCCGCCGGCGGGCATCGCCCCTGCGGGCCGGACAGCGGGTCAGCCCCGCGGGGCAGCGCTGGTGCGGCCCGGCCGACCCCCAACCCCGGCCCGGCCGGGGCCAGCCCCACCGCCGCCTTCCCGCTCTCCCGGGGCGCTTTCGCGGCCCCTCTGGGGACTGCGCTGCCCAGCCAGTGGGTCCCGGGTGCAGCCGGCGGCCCGGCAGCATCCCCCGCACCGGCCCCGACTCCCCGAGTTATTTATTGCTTTTTTCATATTGAGAAACGCCAGACGATCCCACAGATGTAGGGAAGAGGTTGTGCAATGTTAGTTCAATGTGGTTGTCTGTCGTACCGTTCCTCACAGTTTTGCATAGGAAGAAACTCTTCTCGTTATTTAAACATAGAGGCTGGTCAGGAGTGACTCTCAGAGGGGCTGCTACGCGTGCATCGAACAGTAACAAAACCTTCAGCTACTGAAAACAGAACGGGCTTCCTATGGATTTTGGACAGTGCTGATCTGAACCTAAGACACTTGGCCAATGTTCAGCTTTTATCTTTCTGGCAGCAGGTTAAAATAATCCAAACAGAAGTTGAGTATCTACAGGAGCAGCCAGCTGGCCCTAACCCAGCCCCCTCGGTCCCACTTGCTGCCCTTCTCAGATTTCACACATAAAGGTTTGCAGTCAGGGCTGGTTATGGCTTGTCATTTACCCTCTCAGCTATTATTTTCACAGAAGAATTTGACAGCAATGAGAAAGACTTAGGCTGATCTTTTGAGGTGAAAAGGCACAATGCATTAATGACCTTATCAAATAAATACTCTCTTCACCTCTGCTAACCCAGATTCCTTGTTTGCATCAGAAACAAGAACCCCACAGAACCAGACTGGCAGCTGTCAGAACTGTGTGTCTCCATTTACATCCACTCACAAGTCTTTGCAGCTTTGCACCAGGAGCTCTCACAGAGAGCTGGGATGCTTGGGAAGCATTGGAGACATCCTGCTCTCAGTCACAGCCATTAAAGTCTTAAATAATTTTTTTAAACACTGACTTGTACTTGAAGAAATGGGAGCAAGTGGGACTACAGGGCAGAGCATCCCAAAACATGGATGCTGGTTTTGCTTTAGTCCTGTCTTTGCTACAAACATGCTGGGTAGATGATTTTAAGAATTTATCATTGTGTGCTTGATCTCTCTTTCCCCTACTCCACTATTTTACAGCTTCCACATCTGTAATAGCTGAATATAATTAAATTCATCTCTTTTACAGAACTTTCCTTGTATGGCAGATATTAACACTGAGACCAAAACTGGCCATATGAGTATGCCAGTATAACAGTAGATTAGTAAAATCCTTAGTATTTGTGACCTAATCTCAGAAAATATTTCAGAAATCTTAGAGAAAATCATCTCAGAAAGTATTTCAGATCTTTAAGAAAGTATTTTTCCTATATAACAGCTCACCCTTACAGATACTTGCCAAAGAAACTATAGACAGAAAACCTTGCATGTATAGGTATCAATCAGCTCTGCTGTAACAGTATCAACACTGTTCCCATAGCACAGTTACATTGTGGTTTTTCTTGGGCTCTCTACATTGGCAACATGCCAGCTTTCCCACATCTGTTGCTGAAAAGATGCTAGAAAATTAACATGAAATGTTCTATCTATTGCACACTAAGATTTTGGGGCAATCTCACCCCCTTATCGATATGCAAGTGTCTGCTGAAATGCCTTTGGAGGGAATGCTGCTCTAGCACAGGGAGACACTTTGGATAGAGGAACATCTGTGTACATCTGGAGTGCAGGCAGTAAAACCAGGCATGATGGTGATTTTCTTTTAGTTCAAAGAAAGGCTGAAATAACTCACTCCACTTCAACTCATTCCCATGGGCCTGATTCAAAGCCCTGTTAAGAAAGATTTTAAAGGAGTAGCTCAAAACCCACTAGAAAGAGTCAGTCCCCTTCCCTTGCTGTAGGTGGGCTTTGGAGCAGGTCCTGCCACCCAAAGACTGAAGTGACACTGAAACCAACTCAGGGGTTTCTGTGGCTGCATCTTTCTGTCCAGCTGATACCTGCACTTCAGTGCCTCACAGCACGAGAGTGCTACAAAAGGCACAGTCTCAAGAGGTAAACTGAAGTTTCAGGAGTTACTGAATGCTTCTCAGTGATCACAGTGCCCCCAAGAAACAACAGAATCACTTTCAAAATATCTTATCTCTGTTACCTATTATTCCCCACACACATTCTCACAGGACACACACACACAGATGGAAAAACATCCACTGAAGGAGAGGATTCTCCTTCAAAATCAACAGGTTAACTGAATTTGTTACACTGAGTATCCTTGCTAAAAGCTGCAGCTGAAAGGCAGGCTGCTGCTGCAGGTTGTCTGACAAGCCAGCTTTTAAAAAAATAGAAAAACTCACCTTTGCTGTCAGAAATGAGATGAATGGAGAAGAACATTTCTCTTGCCCCCACTGGCTCTCTCAGCTCATGCCATGTCAGTAACATGCACTGAGCTCAGAGTGAGTCTCTCCTTTCCAAGCCAGATCCTTTCCAGATGTGAGCAGCAGAACTGGAGAGAGTAACAGGCAACCCTCTACCAGTGAGAGCTTCCTGCACTTCCCAGCGAAATCGGAGAGGAATTTTCCAAAGTCACCATATAGGAAAATGTGAGTAGGAAAGAGGAAGCAGCTATGGCCTGAATATAAAGACTTGGGAAATAAACAATCTCCCGTTACTTTTGTCAACACAGTTTGCAAGATCTGTGAGTGAAGCCAAAAGCCAGCATGCAGGAATTGGCAGAAGAGAGGCAGAGACAGTTTGTGCTTCTGCATTTCACTGCAGGACACTGGAGCTGCACCGTTACTACATCTTTGAGTTTAGCTGCATTCAACCAAATCTGAATTCCAGGTGGGAATGTCCTCCCATTCTCTGGGGGTCTGGTTTAAATTAGCTAGGAACAGATAGATCAGCAGTTTTTCCTGCATTTTATCTCCTTCCCCTTTAACTCTCCCTCCTTTTCAACACATTAACTGATCTTCAGGGACCAGGGATCAATAGGCTGAAACTACAAATGTCTTACAGGTAAAGTCCCCAAATTTGCTGTGACACTCCATCCACTCAATCTCTTCTTTACCTTCTATGCCCTGCATTGCAGCACTTACATCAGAACTTTTCACCACTTACACACACACACAGACACAGACACTCAGCCCAGAAGCCTCACATTTCTTATTTCCCCATTCTTGGTGAAAGAGCAGGAACACACAGTTGATAACAGTATGCTCCAAGTGCAGCAATATTCCCGAGAAACCAACACAGCTTTTTTTCCCTGACATCAGTTACTATATTAAATACAAAGCCACCTGTTTATGAGTGCCCCACAGTGGTCCATACAGTACCTCCACAAAACCTGCAGAAGATCTGTCCTCACCAACAACACAACCTTCTTGCTGAACTCCAAAGAAGGAACACTGACTCTTTCCTCTCCACTCCAGCTGAACTAAAGTCTAAAGCAATTAAGTTACTTCCTCCCTCTCTTCATCCAGGCTTATATCAACTGGAACTGATCCCCCTGTGTGCCACGTGGAAGTTTGAAAAGTTAGAGTGGGAAGTGTGTTTTTACTGAAACCAAAATAAAAACAAAACAAAGCTGGCTGCTTTTTCCTGGTGACTCAGAGCTCCAGGACACATTTGCCTGCTACCCTTTCTGTATTACAATACCCCGAGTCCATACAACAAAATGTGCACTTTTTTTTCAGGGAGGAGGAGTAGGGGGATTACCTCACTCACTATGGAGGCTAGAGCAGGCCACAAGGGAGAGGAAGTGACCAGCATTCAACCTTCCCCAAAAGTGCATTTTTATCTGTGTTTTTGCTATAGAAGTATAGTAATTTGTTGTCAGGTAGCATCTAGAGGAAGTACAGGGCATTATAAAAAGAGGGGCATTGTGCCTCCTTTAGTGGGGAAACAGAGGCACACAAGAATCAGACACCAGATATGCCATGTGCAAAGGTAATGCACCCTCACACTGCGCTACAAATTATTTGTACAGGCTTTTTTTTCTCCAAGTTTTCACTTCTTCCATATCTTACTCTCCTACATCAACATACCCCAGACTCACAATCTCCCTTCTCAAGGCCCAGTGCTGCATTTCCATCAACCACACAAATTCTCAGGAAAACCAGAGCTGGAGTCACATCTGTCTTAAAACTGTTCTGATACACCACTAAGCCAAAAGCTTACCCTGCCATGGTACATGGACTCAGGAGCCACTGGTTTTGTTCACTGCAGCTTTCTGGAGCTTTCAGAGCAAAGAATTTCCACTGCAACATTCACAGCACAGAATGTGTTGAGGGAGACATTTCCAGTCAAACTTGAGTCTTTGGGCTCTTGCACATTCCCCGCTGCCGGACCTGAGTGGTGGCTGCAGCCTGTGTGAAGAAACATTTCCAGCTTTAAAAACTGAAGCTGAAGATGCAGTTTAAACTTTGGTATGATTATTTCTTCAGATCACACAGATGGCAGAGAACCAGGTCCTTGGGCAAACAGCTGCTGGGGCAGCTGTGACAGACAGTGTGTGCCACACCAGTGCTTTGCCATGGGGCTGGCACAGAGCACCCTGTGCAGGACACAACCTCCTGCACTGCCCAGCAGTGAAAAGCCCCTGTGCTGGTCAAGGACAGGCTTGGCAACCTTGAGCTCAGATTTCAAAGAAACTCTTGCAGGCTTTAGTATTGTCCAGGGCCAAGCTGCACTATGCAGTATATTCCATGTGAGACCTGCTCAGCTCTGCAACTACTGTCACTGTCCTATACAGGCTAAATTTAAATCCTAACAGGATAAACTCAAATAACAGACACACCAATCAGCAACATGGAAGAACAAAAGGTATAAGCAGATATACTGAAACAGGAGCTCCAAGAACAGTGGTTCTCCAGGCATCAGCTAACTTGTGATCTGCCTGGAGTGAGCCACGAGTCATTCTGGAGGTTGTATTGTATCTTAAAAGGTAACAAAATGTTCTTCACTCTCACCTTTATTTATTTGATTAAGACTCTACAGAAATACTGACATTCCTGAAGTGCTCACTGCTATGTGCTGGAATTGTGCCTTTATATGAAAGGAGAGAAAAAAAACCATTAAAATTCTTCTAAGTGACTTGCAGTCATTTTGCTTCAAAAAATGAATAATCGAAACACAAGGAATAAAAGGGGGCTTTGTCTCCAAAGCAGGAAGTATTTTTCAAGCCTAAGAATTCACAACATTGCCTAACCATGAGCCTATTGGCATCTGTGTCTTGATCCAAATGAACTCTGAGATGTCTGTTCTCCCAGAGGACACATACAGTTAAAAAAAAAAAAAACTTAAAAATCCATGACTGCTTTTAATCTACCTGAAATATGGGATACAGACACAGCATATTTTGTACTTGTTTTATATTATCCACGTTCCTTTTAGCCTGCTGCAGCATTATTAGGATGTTTCTGTTCCTGTATCACAGCATATAACTAACATTTCCCAGAAAACCCACCCAGGGCCACACAAAGCCATCTGCTTTCAAGTCAGCAACAAATTCTTCTTAGAGATACAGGGTACAGAACAGCTCACACTGTCACTCCAACACATTACGCTGCTGTTTATTTAAGTAATAAAGGCATTTGTTCCAAACAGTTGGGGCTTTTTCCAGCATTTGTTCTCCACATGTGGTTTGCTTCCTCAAGTGTTGATTTTTCATAGTTAAGAGACTTTTCCCTGCCTTTTATCCACCAGGCTAATTGCATTCTTACCCTTTTCTTCTTAACGAGAGCTGACAGGCAGTGCTCTCGGTGCTCTGCAGAGCAGGAAGCCATGGATTTCCTGTTCCAAGGAGGTAAGAGTTGAATCTGACCTCAGATGAATTGGACATATGGGAAATGGACAAAACCTTGTGACTATCTGCAGTTTTTTTCTATCCTAAGAGGGAAGATGTAGTCAAGGCCCTTTATCCCATCCTCCTGCATCCTGAAATGATCTATTACCCAAAAATCCAGCTCTTTGACCCAGCTGCCACAAACTGTGCTCAGCTGTTCACAGCTCCTGACTCTGCTGCTTTCCAGAGGGGTCCCACACTGTACCAGGGTGTGCTGCACACAGGCAGAGCCTCCACAATGCCACCTGCCAGACTGTGTCACACACATACATCTTCAAAAGTAAGTGTATTCTTCTGCACTGAACCTATTTCTTATTAGGCAAAGCAGCAGGACTGAAAACACAAAACTCAAGTAAAAGTTTAAAAATAAAATCTGTGCTCCAAAACCAAAGCATTCACTCAAATTTTTGCAAGCCAGATCTGCTGAGTCCAGGTATCAACTCGGCTCAGTGGCTCCAGCTCTGACAAATCATGTCAGGCTTCTCTTCTTTTCTTCATTATAGTGAAGATTCCAGTAAGCAAGAATTACATGTATTTTGCAAAAGAAATAAAGGTAAGATATACCTGCCAACTTGACAACACCTTTGGCTGTCCCACTTATTATACCTGGGAAAAAAACCAAGCCAAGAGCTGGCAAGGGGTGCTCACCAGAGTCCATGAAGGAAGAACAACCCTCCCAAGTATTTTAATGTCTAAAGCTGAGATTGCTCCTCATGTGAGCTGGGAGTCTGAGAACACCAAACCTCTGCCTAGAACATTTATTTTTTTTTTTCCTTTACATAAGGCCTTTGAAACCAAAATTAAAACACTGCTATGTTGTAACTGGCCACCTTTTGGTACCTCTAGCTTCCTTTCTAATTCTGCCCCCCAAGGAATCCAGTTAACATAACACAATTGCAGCAACACAAACTTCATTTAAAAGGCCGATCTAAAGCTACAGGGGATTTTAGCTGGAGAAGAACTTAATGCTGCTTGGTCAACAGAGCATTAGGGAGTGAGAAATAAAACCTTTGTAGCAAGATTTCTAAAATGGTACAGACTTAGGTAATGCTTTGAGTTATGCAAAAAAATGAGTAACAGAACTTCATAATGTCAAAAGCTGCTTTGTACCACAGAGATTTTCCTCATGAAATGAAATTATTTCTATCCACTTTAATGTTTATTTATTCAAAGTTGTCGTATTCTAAGACTGCAGGATGTTCATGGAGGATTTGGGATTTCTAGGAAAAGACACCTTCCCCCTCAGAAAAATCAGAGGAAGTATTATATTAAAAAATTACTCAGCAAGTTACAACACAAAGAAGGTGCTGAAAGTGAGGAAGCAATACAGGATAGACATCAGAATAAGACATTAGCAGGTAAATGGGGTGAATACATGACTTTGTCCTTTACTCCATCTCCTTAAATCCTGCAGGAGAAACACCAGCCTGACCAGCCCTCTCAGCTGCAGGCTGTGCTAACCTTTGCACTACTCCCTCTACCTACTGCTGATGGGAATGGAAGGTTTAATCTGGGAATTTTCTGTTTAAATGACATCACAGCTGCAGATGCTCAAGCCCCAGGCCTGTGCAAACCCAGATTTCTCTGAGGGAGAAATCAAGGCTTTAGCCTTGGACATTATTCTTCTTGGTAGCAAACAAACTCCAAAGTTATTTTGTCACCTTTTTTCCCCCTTCATATTTCTGTGCAACTTTCCCCCCCGTAAAGAACTTAACCTCATTCTGCAACTGAGCAATCTTACTTGAACTGTTATTGGGATAGACTACTATTATCTGTGTTATCTTGCCTACATTTCAAAATTAATTTAGCCAACAGTGGCCAAAAGTATGTTATGTGTGTGCTCAAAATTCTTGAAATAGACATGTTCTTAGCTTGCATAACAGACATCTTCTCAGAGTTCTTCTGGTAGTATCAGTAATTCAAGAGGAGGAACGAATTGTTTTCTGGACAGAATTACTGCTGCAATCCTGTAAGTCCCTTTTGTTTTAACCCAGAAGCCAAATGGCAAGAACTTAGGAAAAAGGAGTGAGTACAATAGCAAATGTTATTTTACAGGGAGTTAAACACTGCTTTCATTTGAGAGATATGACTCCTATCTGTTCCAATCCTTCAGATAAGTCAATAAACAATGCACAGGAGGAAACCGTTTGTGTGACCAGATTGAACTTTTAAAAGTTTACAGTGGAGCAATGCCATATTTGTCCTAATTAAAAGAAAACTAATGCCTTGGAAATGATGATGAACAGTGGGGTCACAAATGTTGATTCATCCTGATATTAAAACCCAGGCCTGAACACTGAGTTCCTGGGCAGTAAAAGACAGCTGAAATTCAGTACAAATGTACTGATGCATATAGAACAATAATTTAAAATATTTCAGTTTCATAGTGCAGAAATAAGCACTGAGTTAGTATGAAAGGAACGAACCCCCAGTTTTAAGAGATCTAAGAAAACACCACCTCAAAACAAGGAGTGGT